TAACAATGGTAACTTGTAAAAATTTTTCTTATTGCGTCAAGGGATAAATAATAGTGACCTTAGCAAAATATTATATTCTTTATTCTACGGGTAGAGTACCAGCCAGGCGAAATTTTTAAATTTCTAGAGAATTGTTTCATTGCATATTACATGCAAAATAGATATAGTTCCCAGCAAACTAGAGCAATGGTACATAAATGGTGAATAATGTCTTTAACAGCCCATTTACATGCCGCAATTCTTGTGTTTATTACTGTACATTAATAGGTACATACTTTGTTTCAAATAAATTTGAAACAGACATCTCCAATATAGATACAGCAGCAAGTAAATTTGTACATTTACCATTCAAGTAATAGACATTAATGAAACTTCAAAAACAATAGAAAACCGAATTATACTGTTATAAACAAACACCGCCATGTTCTAAAGGAGTCCTATTGGTGTAAAAAAATTGTTATCAACAACCGTCATTCTGTGTCCTTATTAATTTGGACTGTGGTCAGCATAAATTACTTTGAATAGCTGATGGACATAAGCATGGAGACTTGTATAGTCTCCATGGATATAAGTGTGGGAAATAAAAAATGACTGCGGCAGAACGAAATTTAATTACTTCACCACAATAATGTGCACAGTTGGTCCATCTTCTGTTGGAATCACATGTAGTACAGACATATCACTACTTGTATAATTTATACCATTTTGTAGTTGATCTTTTAAAAACTATATTTTTTTCTATATATTGAACTTAAGTTCCTGGTAACATACAGACAACACATTTTAGTGTTTGATATGTTATTTTAGAAGCATATTAAAAAAGTTTCTTACCACAATTATTATTTTTAAAATTCCCTACCAAAAATACATCCATAGTACTGGATTTACCAATGGGATTTTAGCACCACTTTACTTCAAGAAGTTCATGGCCCCAGCCCACGGTACGTTTAATTTGGTACATAGAGAAATATGATAGAGGGAAAACAATGGACTGTGAACATCTCCCTTGGTTCCTCTTTGAAAATTATAGCCCCCAATAGTATCGTTTTTGTGAATATGAAATATATAATGTTACATCGGGTTGGTTATAATGCTGTTTAGCATGAATAATTTGTCAATCGTCTCTCTACATTAGCGAATGTATTGTGATTTGGAATTTTTCGATTAGGAAATCTTTCAGCATATGTTTGAACACAAGCACAGAATTTCCTTCACAATAACCCAAAACTAGTAACATCTCAATTTGTTCAGCAAAAGTGTAAGTTACAGCCATAGTAAAGATTTTAAAAAACAGTAAGCAAAAATGAAATGACACCTAGCTTGACATTGAACCTTTTAATTATTGTTATGAATATAGACTGATATAATTATCACTAAACTGATTTTATATTTAATGTATAAAAAATGCAAATTTTACTAGAAATTCATAAATGATACCAAACTAGGGTTTTTCATTAACATTATTTTCCAAAAATTCTTACTTTTCGAGATACAAGGATTATGTTAAAAAAATACTATTTTTTGAAGTTTCCCCACATTAAAAAATTCCAATTAACAGTGAATTTGTAACAAATATAAAAAATAACAGGACATTTATCATTCAAAATTGAAAGATTCATTAAAAAATATGTATCATGTCTATGTGATATTATACTACTTTTTTATTAAATTAATTAAAGAGATTGTCCATATCTCTGTCACTGCTTGTTTAAGGAACTTGATATTATCGCGCATATTAATATACAACTTAACCAGATATTTTATTTTTACTTTTTATTAAGGTATTAAACTAATTCAAAGAAGTCCTATCAAATAAAGTCAAACAACATGATTCAATATCAGAAATCTTGGTATGTAAAAGACATTTAACCTCACAGACAAGATAGCTAACTGCTGGCCTGCGAGAAACAACTACTCATGTCAGTTGCATTTCTGGTATCGAAGAATGTTGTTTGACTTCATTTAATAGGATTTGATTGAATTAACTCAATATGTCAATAAAAAGTAAAAACATGAGAGCCAATAATGAATATATTTATTTATGAAATTAACAAGTATAATATTGTCCCCATTGTTACAAAGTTGTTTCTAAAAAAAATTAAAAAATGAGACATATCCACTACAATGCACATTTCCACCATCTCTACTTGTGTCTTATGCGTGTAACTCAATACTTTGTCCTTTATTGAAAAATCAGCATTAGATTAAGGCAACAATTTAATATTAGAAAGGCGGGGTCTACCCAAAACAAACAAAATTGGTACTTGGTGTACGAGACAAAAAAGTTTGGGGACCTCTGGATTAAAGGGTCTATTTCAGATATACAGTAAAATACATGTCTATGACTAATAGGCATAATCTGAGATAAACTAAAAATCAATAGATTTGGGTCGGTCTATGGCCGAGCGGTTCGAGGAGTGAATGCTTGAATCGATGAATGCCATTGTCACGGGTTCAATCCACACGGTTTTAAAACCGTAAATTAGTTATATTCATAGAGAGGAATTAGGTACCCTCTCTGTGGGTATGATAGGGTGGAAGAACACTAGCTTGGGTCAATGTAAGAGATTGATAGTAGTCGGTGTTTGACCACACTCCTAATTAATGGGGTTTTCCAGATTTCCCTCATTCCTGCACTGAATGGTGGTTAGGGCCTACCAACGTAAGTCATTCCTGGGCACATACAGCCTACTGAATAATAATGTACCATGCCCTCTCCCGCACAAGTTTCCAAATTCTTGGCTAATCTTTACGATTAGAATGAGGAGTAGAGATAATATTATTATTACTTTGAAGGGAAATGTTCCTAATTTATTAAACTACAAAAACTTAACAAAACTATATTAAGTTTTGCCCAAATATCAAAATTTGTTTATTTATAAAAATATTCTGTTTAAATATTTTTTTAATTTTGTATATTTTTTGAAAAAGTGCAATAGTTGTTCGAAAGATATTTATTTTTCAAAAAATACGTGTCAAGACAAACAGGCCTCTCATTTTTTTTTCTTCAAAAACTGAGTCTACTGAAACCTAACATAATTTTCTAATTTTCTAATTTAGTTAGTTGTTTTAAAATTTTAAAAAACTTTAAAATGCTCTACCGGAAAATGGTAAAGAATGAGATACGTCTTTATTGATAATGAGGATGATATCTACAAAATTTAATTTAAATTTCTGTGTGTGTTTGAAAAATAGATTTGTAACTTTATTGAAGAGGGAAGATTTTTGGAAATGTTCATATGTGGAAAACACCATTTATCACAAAAGCACTACAACAAAAGGTTGACAGTATCTACCAGGTTCGGTCGCTGACACAGCAACTCGGCATTGAAATATTTGAAAAACTTGTTCTCATATTTGTTTAGGCATACCCATATACAGGTCTGGTCGAACTAACGTGGAGGTGGTAGAAATGTATATGCTCAGTTGAAGAATGCGAGTGCGGGCAAACAAAATACACAGCTGCAATGGGCCACTGGGTAATAAATCTCAGCTTGAATTGTCAGCGTTGCGAGAAACAACTACTCTGAGAGCTATATGCCCCTACCGGCACTGAATTATACTCGCAACACCTAGTGCAACATCTAGGATCGTTTGTCAGTTTAACCCACCAGGCACAGACCAGTTTCGGACTTATTAGTCCTCATCAGTGTATCATAGGTGCGACAACCGACAAATGACCCAGCTGTTCTTCGTCGTATTGTCACAACAAGGTAGCCATTTGAATGGCACAGTTGGGAGTCCGCACGACATTTGCGCTCCCGCGTACAACCATAAATCTCAGCTGTTGACAAATTGCCCAGCAGTGCAGTGCAGCAATGCGGAATTTGGTGTGATTCAGGTAATTTTAATTTATTATAGGGATCTTCTATTAATCATTGATATTACAATTGCGAAAGGGAGAAATAATATTATTACATGACATTTTGGAGACCTTTGAAACAGACCTAAACGAAATTTACCATCAATATACCTAATAAAATTGTTTGAGGACATAAATAATTAAAATATGTTGTTGGCATTTCTACATATTATATACAAATTATTAACGAGCATTCAAATAAAAACGTGGTCCACGTTGGCCCTGACACATTGGACGTAGGGAGTAGCTTATAACGACCAACTTAACCTCATTTCTCAACGAGCTGTATAGCAACTGTTAGTTTCAATAACGTTAATGACTATATAACTTTATTTTAAAGAATAATCGTGATAACAATAACAAACAATTAAAGGAGCTTTTTTTAACACTGTGTGGCAGGGACCGACTGATACTCCCACCATTTGTGATAAAACACGTACAGAAGTTCTTTTTCCATTATTTGTTGGACATTTTCTTTTAATTCTTCAGTCCGCTTTTTAGGTCGGCCGCTTCCTTATTTTCTTGTTACACTGCCCGTTTCACGAAAAACATTAACACAACGCTGAACTGCACTTTGAAAAATTTTGTACTCAACAACGCCGGGAAATTGATTTTGAAATTCTATGAAACATTCCTCAATAGAATACTTCCATATTCCATCAATCTTGCATCCATTTCTAAAGTAGGACTCTATGATAAACACTCTTTGTTCTTGAGAAAACACCATTTTAAACGCTTTTTAAAACAAAAATATTCAAATTGATAGCGGCGATATAACACTTTGACAGATGACGTTTAAGTTCATTTGCTATACGCTACGCCCTACGTCAAAATTTTCAGAACCAACTTGACCACGTATTTATTTGAACGCTCGTTATAATTTTTTTACCTTTAGCAGAAAAATTTTTTAGGGACGCCTATGAATCATTAAATTTTATTGCCATCCGTTTTTTACGTGTTCAACTGACTTCGGAAAGACCATATTACCCGATCGGACGTTAAATTTGACTCACCCTGTATAATTCGAAAAATTAATTTCCGAAATATATAAAAAAATTACAATGAAGTACAGGATTACATTTATTTCATTATATGTTGGTGTATAATAAATACAAAATATTGTATAAATATAATTTATTTATAAATTATAGCAATTAATATCAGATATAGTTATTTGGTTATATAAAGTGAACTTCATACCTGTTTAGTTATTTTTTTTGACAAAAAATTGCATAATTGGCTTCTAATAAAATGATATTACGGATCTTAAAAGAAAAATTAAAAATATAAAAAATACTAAGTGTTGTATATATGTGATTACCAATGACTATTTAACTAATTTTGATAATACATTTTCTAATTTGTACATCTTTCAGTTTTTCAACAATTTTAGCTTATACCTATTTGCAGCAATTCCTGATACTCTTCATATTTTATAGAACTGCAAAATCTTCCATCACATAATTTCATGGTTTTTAGTGTACAAAACGATCCTCACCTTTTGGAAGTAAATTTTAAATTTTATCACATTTTCAAGACTGAGGAAACTTACAAAAAAAACTCAAAATATGTGACAATCAACTTTAACGCAAGGTGTAATAAATGTGCATAAGATTTTTCGCTCTGTCCTAATATATATTTTAAGTAAACTATTTTTCACCTATATCTCAACAATGTAACAAATTTTAATATGCAATTATGCTTTCCTAGAAATGATATAAAACCAATAAATATCGTTATCTTTCACAAAGCAGTATATAATAATAAAAATGTTTTATATATTTTTTAAATATCAATAAATCAAAAGCGGTGGTTCAGATAAAATTTCGCGTAACTGTCGTTAATTTAAAAATATGAAGAGTATAGAATATTTTGTGTTGTATTTGTGTAAAAGCAGAATTTATCACAAAAATTATTTTTATCGTTGCTATTATTACTTGCGATTTATGAAGTTCTTTCATCTATTTGAGACAAATAATGAAGTTTCAGATTACGCATTTATCTGAAAATGTGGTGTTATTTTAAAAATCAATAGTCAATATAGTCAAGGTTAATTTTAAAAGTGTATACCACCATTTTTACGTATATCTTAAAAATGCAAAAACCACTTCCTGTATATCAATGAAATTAATATTATATGTCAATAGAAATTACTGATGTTTTAAAGTAGTCATAATAATAGAATTTTTCGAAACATATAACTTACACTGCCCCAGATAAATATTGTAAGAGTAGGTGACAAATCCCTATGCATATTTACAATTTCTTTTTTACTAAAATCATACAAAAACATCGAAATACCTATACACTGTCCTCACGTACGTTAACCTGTATTAGTCTAAATCTGCGTTCTCTATTATTGGCCTACTAGATGAGTTTGAATTTGAGGTGGAGGCTTGCGGAACCTCGTCATCACTGTCATCGTCTAAACCACTAATAAAACTCTCTATAAAGTTACCCAGTAGACCGCCTCTTTGCTGCTGTGGTGGCTTTAAGCCGAAAAATATTTGTCCTATCTTATCCAAGTACTGCACGTAACACGGATCCCTTTTTATCGACGGCTCGTACTGCTCGCACAGAACAGCGAAGGTTTGTAACTTTTGACTGAAACAAAAAAAGTTATAATTAAGAAGTTCTCAAAAGTTTCATTAGATGATTAGAATAAATAAAGTTCCTAGATGGATAACATATCGCATTCAATCTCTAGGAGCAAAATCTCTATTGCCAATCTTGAAATATGTTTTTTAATAAATAATAAGTTTAATCGGTAAACATTTTTACCAAATGTAATACCTTTTACTGACCTTAATAAGGCAATACCTGTTGATATTAAAACCCAGTTGCTGTCCAAAGATGCAACTAGATTTGGTCCTGAACCAATAATCGTGATAATTAACAGAAGGTATTGTTTTATTATCTCTTCTCTCTTTTTGATGAAAAGAGCTTCAGGATAACATAAAACATTGTATAATATTCGACCACTATAGAGTTTAACATCCTCGCTATAACTTGCTCAATTGACTTCTATGACTATACCAAAACTTCTTCAGACTTTGGTCTTGTTTTGACAAGGCAATTACCAAAATAATTTAGAACCAATTAATTGGTTTCCTGCAATACCAACAGTTTAATTTTTTTTGTTGGTAGAAAAGAGGATTTTTGAAAAAATATTTTATTTATTGCCAAAAAGGTATACTTGTTGGTAAAATTTGGTTTATTTCTAGTTATGAAAGAAAAGTTTAGGAAAACCATATAAATAACATTTTACATAAATAACTTGAGTTATTATTAACATTAATTAAAAAATCACTTGAATTTATGACATCTTAATGTCATTTTTCTGCTTATCTTGAAAATGGTGCAACATGTAATAATAGCACATAGTATTTATAAAGCCATGTTCTATCATACGAATACATTTTGAAATCTCTTGGAAGAAAAAAGAAAACAACATTTTGAGAAAAAATTACTAAACCCACTCCCAAAACTGTCACTATACAGGGTGTCCGCAAATTTCACCGACAACGTTTGACTGCACATTCATGACAATAAATAAAGACGATCTATGAAAAAAAAGTTTAATAAAAACCTTTTGGTTTTTGAGTTACAGGCCTTCAAAGTTGTCAAAAATAAAATTAATTTAATTAATAACTTCATAATCCTTTTACCGATTGCGTTAAAATTTGGTACATTTATTTGGACTATTATTGCGTATTATTTCTTAAAATCGATGTACCGGGTGATAGTTTTCTCCAGTTACCTCCACCTCTTAACGGTTAAGACTTTTACAGTGGTCGTATTTTTTTAAAACGGGCAGCAACATTGAAATGGTCGTTTTATTTAAAAAAAAATAGTGTCCCTTGAGAAAAACGCCTACAGAAAGCCATTCTTTAGAAAAATGGCATTATTTGCAAGTTTGTACGTTTCAGTTTGTATAGCGGTGTCACGGATTTAAAACTTTTGAGTTCTGTAGGCCATGAAAACAATGAAAACAAGATGTCGATTGCTGTGGCCATCAGGGAATGTCATTATCGTCGTGTTTCTTTAGGATTCTCATCACTCTTCACATGCAAATTATGAAGTGTCCGCAGTGTATCAAGACAATTAAACGGAGTAGTAAATTTTCATAATTTGCATGTGTGGAGTAATGAGAATACTAAAGAAACACCAGAATCTTCATCGTCTACTGAATTCAAAGTTTTAAACAGAAATGTACACACATGCAAATAATGCCATTTTTCTCAAGAATGGCTTTCTGTAGGAGATTTTCTCAAGTGACAATATTTTTTTAAATAAAACGACCTTTTCAATGTTGCCGCCCGCTTTAAAAAAAATACGACCACTGTAAAAGTTTTGACCGCTAAAAGGGAGAGGTAACCAGAGAAAACTAGCACCCATTATATCGATTTGACTAAAGCTTTAAGAAATTATATGCAATAATGGTCCGAATAAATGTACCGAATTTTAACGCGATCGGTAAAAGGGTTATGAAGTTATTAATTAAATTAGTTTTATTTTTGAAAACTTTGAGGGCTTGTAACTCAAAAACCAAAAATTTTTTATTTAACTTTTTTTTCATAAATCGTCTTTATTTATTGTCATGAATGTGCAGTCAAATGTTGTTGGTGAAATTTGTAGACACCCTGTATATGTAAAAAAACTGGGACATATAAAGGATGATTAACACATCTTGAGAAACGCTTTTCTCTTGAAAACAAACAAACACAGTATTATATTTTCAGTGGCTGTCACTCAAACGTAGGAAAAAAATGTTGGTCCTATCAGGTCTTCTATATTAATTTCTTAGTAGGTGTTTTATTGTTATACTTTTATTTTATCAGTAGTAACCTGTATCAGGTCGTTTATATTATTTTATACTACTATTTTAATAAGTTTTAAATTTTTAATTTGTTATATTTTAATTAGGCACAGCCCACCTACATGAATCTCTAAACATTCTTTTGCGGGTACTACTTCGTTTATCTGTTTGATTATGTTCATTTAATATATTTTTTTTTCACAACAATAAACAAATATTATTATTATATATTCACAATATAATGCAACCATGCAACTAAAGATAACTAAAATTTTATTTTATATTTCAGGGTCAGCCACTGAATAAGTGTATAAAGCCGTTTTCAGAACATAATTATCTTTATTTTCAAGAAAAACGCATTTCACAAGATTAATCGACAGCATTCGTTTGTGGCTAATCAAATTTACTTCGAAAGATGAAATAAAAAAAAACGGTTCTGGTCATTTGTTTATAGGAACTTTTTTATTTAATTTATAACATAAAGTCACAATCAGAGTTTGATCAAACATTCAGTTACAGAAACTATGAAAAAATATGATAAATAAATAAATTAAAGAAAATTGTTTGAAGTAAAATTAATAAAAAAATTATATTAAAATTTAGTATAAAGTTTAATATTACAATCCTCTTAATGGCACATTAAATTTCAGCCTAATATGTAGTAACACTAATGTGTTAGTGTCTGACCTCTTTCCAAAATAAATAATCTAACGCCACTTGCCAAAATTACATACATTTATACATATCTACATATTTTATATAAATAAATATATTTATACAGACATTTATATTAATAAAAATAGATATAACAATTTTTGTTATATTAAAAGAATTAATTTAATTTAAATGTAGCGATTTGCAACCAAGGGACATCTTGCCGATGGTTGAGAAAAATGATTAAATGACTATTAAACCAATTTAGTAAAAAAATCCTAGCGGTGTTTAAATAAAATGATATGCTAAAAAGATTACCTATCTATCTCAAAGGGCATATAAATATTTAATAAATTTGACATACCTTTCTACGGCTTGTAGTAAAAACCAAATAAAATTGAGTAAAGGCAGGAGATAGGGCGGACCTGATTTTCTAATTCTTGGGTGTTGTTCTGTATAACTTGTAAATGTCTGATTTGCGGTGCTTTTATTTTTTAAGCATAAGTATTGTAACACTGCTTGAGCTATAAATAAGTCTGCCTCACATTTAAATCCCTGAGTTCTTTGAAATTCTATAAGAAGTTTTGCACAACTTTTCCCATCTTGAGAATAAATAAAGTGGTGCCTTGCCTCGGCATAATTCTTTTCTTCCCAATATATTAAAGCAATACTCTGAAATTAAAACATGGTAATAAAAAAAATGTAGGGATATTTCTTACACAAAATATTAATCTATGGAGTAATTATAGTTAAATTTATTCAGTAGGACATTCTCTACAACTAAAGCTTTGAGATTACCTGATGTAAAAATGGATGACCATAAGAACCTCCTTTTGAAGACCAACGTATTGCATGTGCCAAGTAAGTGTCCCTCTCAGGTGTAGACGGGCTTATTTTACTGAATATTTTAGTGAGTTTTGGAGTCCAAGTTAAACAATCATCTTCCTCTGATTTAACCAAAACTTCTATCAACAGTATAGCCAAATCTGCTCCACTCAACTGCTACAAGAAAAAATATAGAAACAAATTAGGTTTTTAGTTCAAACATACAATACCTGATCGTGTTCTAGAAATAATAGGGAACCATTATATAGCATATCTTTTAATTCTTTATATTTTTTCTGTCCTAAATATCTGAAATGATAAGGTTATGTTTAGAAGTTTCTAGCATTTTTTGCCACAAAATAATTTTAGGCATTAAATGAGTTTTATGTACCTGAAATATAATGTTCTATACATCTGATGGGCTTCATAATAATTTCCATCAGTAACCGATTTTTCCAACTTTTGTAAAACTCTAGAAACTCCACGATTTCCTTGCGCAGCCATGATTATTTATTCTAATGTCAAAGTCTGGTAAATTTCATTTTTAAAAAATATGTATGTTGGTACCATTAATTTTAAGTGACAGCTTTTACGCCTGCGCAGTGGAAGTCATAAGCGGGAAAATCAAGAATGAAAATGGAATGTTTGAATAATATTTTGAAAATGTGTTTTGGATGGAATGAAGTAATTTCAGTTGCAGGGTAAGAACTTTTATAATGTACAGAAAAGTTAAATTGATATGCAAAAAGTTATGTTAAATATAGTCATTCTGATGTTTGCGTTCTTGATCAATTACTGCAATTACTTTTGCGTCCCTATTTAATGACACTTTGAGTTTTTAAGGACACACGTCTAATACACTGCTCTCTCTCTATCCAATTATTATTTTATGTAATATAGAGAACAACACGCGCTCGAATTGATTCTCACAATAAATTACTTGCAATGTTAAAGAGTATACATGAAAGATGGCGCTGCCGTTAAACATTATACAAAACCGGGTCCGCCATTGTTGCGTGTCGGCTGCTTTTATGGCCGTGCCTTGAACTTTTCGTAAATATTTCTCGTGTATGGAACTTGCATCTTGAAATTTTAGGTGTGTTTTAATGTTTTGATGTATTCTAAATGAAATGACACTTATTGTTTTTTGATGTGTTTGCCCCTGTAAAGTATATCAGTGTTATTTTTCAAACATCGATTTGGTTTATAATGGCTTTCAACTCTGGATCTTTTTTTATTTTGATCCATTTGTAACAATTTGATTGAATGTATGTAATACCATTATTTTGATTTTTGCAAACGTAGTAAACATATTAGTGGATATATCATTTAGTAGAGAAATAGACTGCCATGTAACGTTTTCTGTGCTGCATTTAAAATATCCAGCTAAGTATAATTGCAGTTGCATACTTAATTTATTACTCTATTTAAGGTAGACAAAAATGCTGTCTAATATCAAAATATGTTCTACAGTTTTAGTATGTAATTAAATAATAAAATGTAGTTCATTGTACCTACTTTTTATAAGACCAAGTAGTGAAATTTAATAAAAAAAAATATAAACAGTTGATATTTAGTAGGAAATAGGTATGAAAAGTATTTAAAATTAATTTGTAGTGAATAATTGTGGTTGATAAATTTAGCTTGGTACAATAGTACTCACTTCTGAATACTTAGTAGTAAGTAGGTACTTTGAAATGTTGACTTGAGTTATCCAGAATAGTTTTCTCTATATAACAAAGAGAAAAATAAAGCCCTGAAATTTTGAAGTAACATGATATATAGCTAACAGAACTATTTTTTACTTTTTCTAGATTTTAATGTGCTGGTGATATATTGAGAAGCTTTATACAATTTTACCTTTATTGGATTGAATCTCTATTTTAATGGATATCAGTTTGAAGATATGCAACCTGACTGACTTTTACTGTGAGCGTGTTGTTTATTGATGTAGAAGAGAACGATATCGCCATAATAATGTCTGGTGGTCCCCCACATCATCCACATAACCGGCAGGTACCAGCTGCTAACACTGCATGGAATCATTTGCAGGTGAGTTATTTTTATTACATATGTTGGTAGTTTTAATTCAAAATAACTATTTACTATCTTAAAGGTTTTTTTTACTGCTGTTTTTTTGTTTGTATTTTGGCATGTAGGTGGTGGGGTTTATATAGATCTTTAATTTTTTTTAAATAATCCTCAGCTACCTTAGTTATCAGATATCTTTGTAAAGCTAGTGTTGAATTAACTGAATTTTAATGCCAAATTTAATAATGATTTACTTACAATTAGTTATATTAGAACACAGCTATGAAGTAGCAACTCTTTTTACCTACTAGTTTGAAACACGTGCAAAAAATATAATTAAAAGTCTGATTTAATATTTACTTGTAATACTACCTACATTTCAATACACATTTTTTGGACAAAAACGTTTTTATTATGAGTATTAACTTGACAATTTATAATATCTTCAAATTTTAAATAAATTATTTTTACCCAAATCTTACCTTATCATTGTTATTAGGTATGGTTAAGCCATTGTAAGTATATTGGGAAAATGCATACATATATTAAGAAGTAGCGGTATTTATATTTTACTAAAGAGAACAGAGAACATACCAATAAAACCGTGAAACAGAAGCATTAATTTCTAAAATTAAAAAAGTATACATATAAACCAAATTCATCTGAGCCCTGTAGGTAGGATGCGCAGTGGCAAAATAGGGGAGTGGGGCCGGAACAAAGTATGGGTTATTTGTTGTTTGAATTTCATCTCTTTTACATCAAATGTGCTTTTGCTTACACATTTCGGGACTCATGTTTTTTTTTTATAAATTTATCATAATAAATAATTTGACGTTTGTCAAAATGTCTACCAGTCGTATATATATTATTGATGAAAGCTGCCACAACGGAAAACCACTGATACAGGATAGTGGAATGGATTAGATTAGAATGCATTAATATGTAACTAAGTCTAATGATTTAGTTACATTTTGTAATTTATTTCGGTTGGGAGAAATGAATATTTTTAATATTTACTATTTTCAATATTGTATTCATTTTCAGTTCAAAAAATATTTTGCTTCAAAGATCAGTAATATTTTCTTTTGGTATAACTTTTTATAATCATTTGTGCATTGTTATTAATAATACAATATTGTTTTTATGACAACTACACAAATGAACAGATTCACGTGTTTTTTCAAATGTAGGCCCCTTCCGCACAGCCTTTGGCTTTGAGGGTTGTCTCATTTCTGTGGTGTGTTTTGTTTTTTTTTTTTTATGTAATATGAGAAAGTATTAAAAAATTCCCATTATTTGGATGTATTGACAACATATTACTTCATGAAAGTGTTTACAGACAAAAACGTTAAATGTAAAAAAAGTCTACATCAGAATTGTTTGCTATAAATGAATGAAGCAAAGTACAGGGCAACACATTAACGAATAAAAAATTAACGAGCATATTCATTCCAAATTTAAGAACGTGTTCTTATACAGGATGATCCTGAACTCAAAGATAAGTCGGCAAGTGGTTGTGGGTTGGTCCACGACTAGCTAGAATAACTAAATTTGATCTTAGTATAAGTCTTAGTTTTTGAGTTCCTGGCACTTTTTTTAAGTTTGTGAAATTCACTGTTCTAGATCAATGTTTTGGCTGTCGTAGTTATATAATTAGCAAGAAATTTAGGTATTCTGTGATTCCGTTTTTCGCTAAATTAGTATTTATTAGAATTAAGGACTTTTACTAATGCAGTAAAAACAATTTCTATTTTTTCTGTTTCCCTTGATGATTAGTTGTTAGTGTTGTAAAATAAAATGTATGAAGTAAAACTGGCCCTTTGTCTTAAAAACAATTTAAAGAGTATGCTATTTTTTATTTAAGAAGACAATATATAGTTATTTTTCTACAAAATGACTTGACTAGATTTTTTTTTAATTAAGGGTTAAAAGGCAAAATAGAAACAAGGTTTTTTTTTGCAACACTAATTCTCAAATTGCTCAGACTACTGTAACTAGAAATGAGATAACAATTAATTACTGTTTATGTTTATACAAAAAAATAAGATGGTGCATTTTCGTTGAAATTTAGTATTTTAAAAATAAAATCAAAATGAGCTTGTTTTACACGACGTAACGGCAACGAAAAATTTGTTTATTGCCTTTGATAGCAAGATTCTTATCAAAAAGCATAATAACAAAATTCTTAATTTTATAACTGTTGCACTCGAAATATTGATAATGTTTTCACAGATTCCTGGAAACTAAGAGACTTTTACTCAGGTCGATCTTAGTTATTATGGCTAGTCATAGGCTAGTGTATCATCATTTTACTACACCCGCTGTAAACATATGCCTATTTAACTCTCGCCTTTAACGGTTTCAAGTTTTCAAACAATTAATTATCATATTGTCATCTTTTGTAAAATTATTTAAATAATGATTAAATTTATTTAAATTTGTCATCTTTATATATTGCTAATTTGTATCAAAATAGTTAAGGACCATACAAAAACGTTGAGACCATACTTTAAAAAAAAAATCCTATCGTACACCACAATTAAAAAAAAATGACCAGTATGTCTCATTCCCAGGCTAATGGGTTGAGACTTAATTTTTTCACACATGGACATTTTATTCATGTATGATGCACACAAAATTTCATTTCAATTGTCTTTATTTGTTTAAAAGATTTTAGAGCAGCAGTTCTTAACCTTTTGTTTACCGTGGACCACAGGTTAAGAACCACTAATTTAGAGTTATAACATTGTGTCATAAACTTCTATATCTCAAAAAGAAGGCTTAAAGTCCAAAAGTTTATGAAAAGAAAACTAGCATTCTTAAATTTGTACGAGGAAAGCGCTGCTTTCTTTTTTGACAAGTTGATTTTTTTAAATAAACAAAACAGTATTGCAAGGTGGTTAGAGCTAATCAACGTAAGTCGTTCCTGGGCGCATATGTGGCCTACTGAATAATACCATGCCGCCCCCTCCCCCACACAAGTCTCCGACTTCTGGGCTAATCCTTGTGATTAGAATGAGAGATATTACTATTATTATTATTATTACTGAAATTTGGTACAGTTTTTGAGGATGCTAAATATATCTATTAGTTTTTTATTACTTCTTAGATATCGTTAACTACGAAAATTCTCAGTGAAATTTTAAATTAAAAATTATTAAATTAAATTAAAAGTTTTTTTGAGTTTAGGCTTTCTGAGTTGCATGTCACATATAACGACGGAAATTTCCATTTTATGCAAAATAGCAGTTGAAATTGCTAAAAATACACTGTTTTTGGGAAAGTTGCATAGTCGATCAATTTTTATCCACAAATATAGGGTTTTTGCGACCCAAAAAAATCTTAAATATGAAATGAAGGGAACTGATTCTTCAAGCCATTCTAAGAAGAAAACTTTGTAAAAACATCCTAAAATGTTGAATTAACAACATACAAGATATTAATATTTAAATTTTCCGATATGTTTATGAAAAATTTAAATACATATATTGATCAAATTTTTGTTAATTATATAAAATATATATCAGGCATTAATAAAAGTTTTTATAGGGTATTGAACCAAATATAACTTGTTTTGAGAATAAAAAAAACTGTTTATTCATTTTAATTATAATAATTTGTATTTTCCTTGATATTAAATGTCTGAATATAGGAAAAAATAAAACTAGTTATTAAATGGATACCAATTTGTTTATTAACATGATTTTCATGTCGGTGAAATAGCTTCTGAAAGTGTTTGATATAAATATGAAAAAATTAATAACAACCTAATAATATATTTGAATCTATATCTATAAATCAATGGGTAACCCTCTCTTAATACAAATATAAAGACGACTTAATTTACATAGCAGGCAGAACTTATGAAATCATATTTGATGTTTTTACAGAGGTATTATATGTTTGGATATTTTAACTTTTATACACATTTTTCTATAAAATTTTGTTTTTCCTGTATTAAGATATATTAACCTTGAAATATTGAAGCAGTGTATCAGTAGATATGCAGCTTAATACCTGACCTAATAATTTGCTGATCTAGTACAAAATTAACTTTCAAGCACAAGCACCGTTTTTCCTTACCCTGATAACCCTAAGGATAGTTCTGTCAGAAGTGTAAAAAATATAATGCCATTTAAGTAAGTGCAGTTGGAAATGTTTTTCTGTATTTTGATATTTAATTAAGTGACTTTTATACAGTTTATCTGATTTGTGTCAAATCTGATAAGGACTAACAGCCGATATAATGATTACAATTACATTGTTGACAGATAGCCACTTTTTCATTACTACACGGAATATTCTTTTTAAATGGAAAAGTAATATCCTCAAAAGAGTGTGCCATAAATACAATGTGTTAGAAAGAGGTTATTAATATGTGCCAGGCAACTAAGACTTTGTCCAACACATTTAGCTTATAAGACACTGTTTTTTTTTGGCCATATTTCCCTATACTATTGCAGATAGACTTGACCTGTCAAACCTTAAATCAGTGTAATCATAAGAAAGAGTTCTATTCAGCTAAGTAAACATATACAGGGTGTTCCATAAATAAATAAAGTTTGTTGTTGTGTTTGGCAATTTAACAACAATACAGTTATTTTCATCTCGTGACCTTCTTTCTGGATGTTAAACTTCACTCAAAGAATACATGTAGAAGTTATAGGGGGTATGCTATTAAAAAAAACTAGGTTGCATACAACGTGTAACTAAAATACTTGGCCTAATTTTAAAAGCAGGTTCTACATTGCAAATTAATAAAAAAAATCTATAAATGTGTTAGGAAACGGAATGTTTGTAGGACATTTTTTTGTTGATATGTTGTATGTAGAATTCACCATTCACTGAAGCCTTTTTTTCAATATTCTAAAATCATAAGTCAAGTCTGTGCAGTATTATTTTTAAAGCTACTTCAAATGGATCTTATTAATAATTAAAAATAATAATAAAATTTAGTAATTTATTCTCTACTTTTAAAGACTAAAAAAATATACATTTTTTTTGTAATATAAATAGGTGACATATTGCCTTTCACAGTCTGTTTCAAACACAGAGTTCAATTTAGATGGTAGACACTTTTTAGTATCAAAAATATTTCTCGGTTCAGCATGTCATGTTGTGTTGATGTGAAAATATAAGAAATTTGTCAAATTCTTCTTATAACATGTAAAATGGGTAATTTAAAAAAAAAACATTTTAATATAATATTTTTGACTATTCTTTTAGTTTCAAATTCAGTTTGATACCTAATAATAAGTGGGGTACCCTTACAGTTTTTTAGGGGAAGTTTATTAGATTCTTTCGCACTAGAAAAGAGAACAAAATTTGCTAAATAAATAATCAATATAGTTGCACATACGGAGGTTTCACGATTATCTCTCGAAGAGAGAACATTTTTTATTTGTACTTTATGAGAAATTGTTATTCTTTATAAAATTTCGCTCTTGTTTCCAATCTGTAAAAATGTTTTTCTTTATTTTATATACAGGATTGCCAATTTTTAAACAAATTTTGTGACAGAAGCTCCTCAATGTTTTGAAATATTTTGATATTTTAAGTATGATTAAGACAGGATTAGGAATAGGAAAAAGGTAAATATGAATTTTCAATAATTTTGCAAAATGAAATTATTACTTCAATTCATATCAATTAGGTGGCTTAGATTTACTAATTATTTTCATAATTTATTAAAATTAATTGATTTCAGATCAGGACTTCTAGCAGGTCATAAAATGTTACTAATATTTGATATCTGTTAGGTTATGAATACTGTAGATTTATCTTGAAATCAGAGATCGTGCTTGATTTTATTTTGCTAATTTAAATTAATTAAAACCAAATGATTTGGGTCATCAAAAGATTCACACTATTGATAAACAATATTTGTTTTTTTTAATATAAATAATATTGTCGATAAAAAGGTCAAAAATTTATAGGTACACAAACAAATCAAATTGGTGTCTATTTTGTGGATTTATATCATTATAACCTTTTAATATTATAATAAGAATGAAAAAAGGTATGTGTGCATTCACTATGTAGGCATATTCTTATAAGTGATGTATTGCTGAAGAATTAAATTCATTGGAAGTAAATTATAGGTAAAGTACTACTAAAACTACAGGTTAAAAGTTTTCCTCAATCAATTTTAACCACTACAAACACCTTTTACACATCTTTATTGATTCCTTGCATTTATGTATTATATGATTAAGCTGTTTTACCTTGTAACTGGCAGATAGTAAGAGGTATTGCCTCAGCATGATATAACAGTATTTGTTCTTGTTCAGCTATGAGACTTGAAAAATAATTCTCGAATGTTTCATCAAATTTTTATCCCTCTCTTCATTATTAATTTCACTTGTTCCGTAACAAAAATACATAAAAATTAATATAGTACATACAAGATTAATTAGCATTGAATACATGGTAAAAAAAACACATGGGTGGCTATATAGTCTGTTGTTAAAAGATTAAATTATTTTAAAACTCGATCCTTTAAGTGAACTTTGTTATGAGTCATAAGTAATTAAGTGAAAACCTTCTAACATTTAAGTAAATATTTGGTGAGTGCTAAAATGATTTTAGTTTTCATAAGCCAACATGGATTAGTTACCTCCTGTCCTGTCAAAAAAAAGTTAATAGTGTCATTAGTATTGTACAAGTATTGCTGTGAGTTAAATTCTGTTATCTTTAAAAGAATTTGACTACTGGAAATTAAAGGACATTGAGCTATACTTTCATTTGGTTTGTGTATGCATCATATGTTAGTTCAAGGTAAGATGAATACGTAAATAGTGTGGTTTTAATTCAATATTTCTAAATTGTTGTCATAGATTGGCCAAAAAGGTTTTATATGTTATATAAAAACATAAAAAACTTCATAGATTTGATTCAGTTTAACTTTGTAAGTAGGTGAGTATTTTAGGTGTTTGTTCATATTTGAATAAAATAGTCTGTGAGTATGTTAGTAGTAGGTTATCTAAATTTTTTATTAAATGGGATCAGTAATCAATAATAATTAATAGTAAGTACATAGTGTGCATTTGTTTTACGTTAATGGTATCATTATGGCTTATTTTGCCAGTAAGCTATTGTTAATTTAACTGTATACTTTGCTTTTTGTTTGTGAATAGTTAAAATTATATGAAATGAGGACGTTTAAGGTCATGCCAATTTTGATGTCCCTTATGGTTACATTGTTTACTGCAATAATAGATGCAATAGAATTTCATTTTTAAGAAATTTAATTTCATGCTGTACAGGTCATTTTACCTTATGAATAATGAAATATACAGGTTGTAATTAAGATATTTAACCAAACTTTAATGGCAAATTCAATATCACAAATTAAAAAATTAATTAAATTAAACATGCGTTTGGAAATGCTTTGTTAACACACAAAGAAAACCTATTATCTTGTAAATTAGGTGTTTCTTATTATTATACTTGTTTAAATATCTAATTTTAATAACAAGACAATTATCAAAATTAGATTTAAAATTGTAAGACTATTTTATTGTATACAGCTATTCAAATATTTTGCATTGTAATGTTTGTTGTACTTACAAGCTTTATAAGAATGTATATAATTTTATGTACATACCAGAATTTTTTGTATTTTGACATTACCTATATAAATAAATCAGTTTCTCAGTCCCTGGTATTCTCCTACATATGGGTTTTCAGAGCAAATTTAAATTGAAATGTATAAATTTAGAACTACTCTAATTGCCAAATAATTATTTAATGAATATGATTTCATTGTTGAGGTGTGGTAGAAACCTGTCTTTTTTTGCCTACAGGCTGGTTCATTGTTTTTAATACATTTTTGTGTTGGCTATATTATAAAACAATCAAATTTTCAGGTTAATTTGGTATTAATTTTATTTAATAATTTAGTGACAATAACACTAAGATGTGATATAATTTCATGTAGCTGTATGTGATTGAAGGTAACAATTCTTAATCTGATTTTGATTCAATACAAATACATGTTATGATTATCTCAATCTATTAAGGACATTAACATTTCATTTGCAAATATTTTTGTACTTCCTCATTCTGAACACCTAGATTCTCAATAGTTCAATTGTAAATCAAAAATATTAATAAAAACAGAGGGAATGCGGCATCTATTTGTACTTGATGCTTATTAATAGCACACACCCACCTGTTCCACATCTATTTTTAAAAAGATTATTGTTTAATTTGTCTCTTAACATGTGTATTTTTAACATTATCAATTTTTACAATATTGTTTTTCTTCTAGGTACCAAATTATTTTCCGAGGCAGCCACAATTGGCTCATATGTCCAATGAACATTCCCTTCTCCACCAACCAACATGGCACACCCCAACTACAACAGAGGCGATGAAGATACACCCTCACACTCATATGTTAAGCGAAATGTTAAAAAATGATCCCCTTTTCCCCAGAGACTGCGTGGATCTGAGTTTAACGAGAAACGGTAACCAAAACGGTGAACTACCTACGACACCGATTAGTTTAAGTGTTAGAGACACTAATAAAATAAACAGTTTGCCCGCTAGTGTGTTAGACATACAAGCTGTGGAACTTACGAAGTGTACCAGTCCCAACCCTAAGCCCTCAAGCCCCATATTGAAGTCCGTAAGTCCAGTAGTAAAATCTGATAGCCCCGGACTGAAATCGGTGATTGGCCCAGGTATAAGCACCCAAGTGTTACCATCAACCACTTCTATCACACCCGTAGAAACGTCAAAAACTCAAAAGAGATCTAATATAAGAGTAGATTCCATATTGGAAAGGTTAAATACTACACAGGAAAAGGCGGCCAGTATCCAAGAGAATAAAGTCGAGCAAAGCATCGATAAATCAGTGATCGAGAGACCTACAAACGTAGAAAAGGTGGAGAAACCTCCAACCGAAAAATCTGTTAGTGTAATTGTTCAACCCGCGAGCAGTTACGACGAAAACAGTAACTCAAGCAGTATTGTCAATGTTCCCACTTCAACATGCATAAGAGAGGAGGACGCCATTTCGACCTACAGTAACGAAGATAGCTTAGATAGTAATAAATCGAGGAGAAAACGAAAGCCAAGCAAAACTATTCGAGTTTCGAAGGACGACGAGAAACTAGAGAAAGTTACCATTGAAAACTTTGAGCCCGTGCCAGAAGAAACCAAAACTGCACCGGAAACCGAAAAAGAACCGGATCCGATAAGTATCGTCGGGAAAATGTTGGAAGAAAACAAGATTCCAGAGAGGCGAAGATCGTCCGACGACTTGGAAGCTATTCTTCCTGCAAAGACAAGAAGGAAGACTTCTTCGGAATCTGAAACGATAGACAACATTGCGGCTATGGTTCAGGAGGGTCTCAAAGCGAAACAACAAGTTAATAGTTTAGAAATACCTAGGGAAGAGGAAAAAACTGAACCAGTTACAAAACCCATCTCCGTGAGCGTGATAAAAACAAAAGATAACCTAACGGAAGCTTTATCTGACTCATTGAGTAACAGTTCGACAACACTGGTCACGCCAGCTCAAAAAAAAGCCACAAACACACATTTTGTGGAGGTGGAGAATAAACTAGAGGAGATGTTTGCCGGAATAGAAGATTCTAGCGATCCTTTAAAGACGGACACACTCGACCTGGATGACTCTAAATTGGAGGATCCTCTCTTAAAACTAGACGATCCCTTACCGTCTACTAGCCAAGAGAACGTTACTGTGTCTTCGACAACAGAGGTTAAAAAGAAATCTCCTTCTCCAAAGAAGAACAAACGCAAGCAGCCTTTGTCCAGAAGAAATAGTGAGGCTAATTCTCTTGAAACGACTCCGAAAAAGAAGAAAATAAGCAAAAAGACTAAGGCGGCTGTTCTAAAAGCAAAAACGAAAACTAAGAAAGCAACCGGCCAGAAACAAAATAATATCAGGACGGAACCTGTGAAAGACGTTTACGCGTATGATTCGGGAAGTAACGCAAGTTCTAGCAGATCAAGGGGGCCATTTATACAGATCAGAGGACCTCGCGACTCGCCTCTTTCAGTTAGTGTCGTAAACACGCCAATAAACGAGGAAGACGGCGATAGGAAGGTAAACAAAACAAAGAAATTCCATGACGACAGCGAGTACAGGCACAAGGTCCGTTCTAAGGGCCTCCACTGTAGCACTTTAAGTAACAAATATGATGCTCAAACCAAAGATACGACTTGGATTTGCGCCTTCTGCAAACGTGGCCCCCACGCGAGCGAACTGTCTGGACCAAGTTCGAACGGTGACGTTATCCCACCGGGTGACTTGTTCGGACCTTATTTCATCACAACCCAGTGTCCGGAGTTCGAAAGACGGCTAGACGATCCTCACGATAAACATTTCAAGAGTAAAAAGATCACCAGAGTCCTGGACGAGTGTAGTTTGATGAAGAGCTCAGGGAAGAAATCTAAAAGGAAATACTTGGAATCCGATCCGTTAGAGTCGGATCAAACAGATATATATCTCGGCGTGACGGCAACAGGAAATGAAACTTTCGAGATCTGGGCTCACGAGGATTGCATCGTCTGGTCCCCGGGCATATACCTCGTCGGGCCGAAAATCGTGGGCCTCGAAGAGGCGGTTTGGACTTCGTGTAACGTGCCGTGTAAACTGTGTCAGTTAAAAGGGGCTAATATTTGTTGTGTGAAGCGGGGGTGCTTGAATACGATGCACTTATGTTGCGCAAGGTCTAGCGATTGGCAGTTTCTCGAGGTTGACTTTAAGGTGTACTGCCCACAACACAGGGTTCCGTGACAGAAATTGAACTTTTTGTCTCAAATTGAGATATGAGGTTTATTGTGATGATTTTAATTATTAACTTGTATAAAATTACTTGCATTTTTTTATTAGCTGTGTTGTGTGATTAATTATGTTTTGGCGGAACGATTATATCGGGATGAGATTCGTTCGATTGGTTTCCCGAATATAATGAAGGAAAATTATTTTTTACCACTTTGCGGCTACGACTTCAACTAGCGTTTTTTATTTTTTTTTTATCGTTGATTATATTTTCCTGTAATTATAACTGATCTGATTGAAATAAATTAACCTCATTAATTAATATATTCTTAATTTCAGTTGAAATATATTTTTTTAAAGAGTGAAAAAAAAAATTCTCCTTTATAATGCTATTAATTATTAATTTTTTTTATTGAAGTTCAGATGCACCGAAGAATTGTTAAAGCAGTTTATATTTTAGAGATTTCCTGGGTATTTAATTATCAAACATTGTTTCAAATACAAAAATGTTTAATTTTTTTATTCTCATAGACGCGATTTTATTCTAGGCCGAACAAGCTTTTTTGACGATATGAAATGTACTACTATTATAATGGGATGTCGAAAAAGTTCTCGCTGTTTTTTCGTGAAAAATAATGTCTTTTTTTGGGAAACGGAGCAGTCGGTTTTTATTTGTAATCAGTCTTATACAGGGTGTTTCAGAAACACCTCACGTAAATACACGGGGTGATAGTACGACAAAATATAAGAATTTTTTCTCTTATGAACTAGATATATGTCTATCTTCTCTCGCTTTCGAGATATAGAGCGACAAAATAAAATGTTTTTAATAGAATTTTTAGGAAAATTTCCAAACGGTGCGAAATATTTTTATATGAAATTGGTCTAATTATTTTTTGGATATTTCATAAAGGGCGCTCTTTATGCTACGTTCCTATTAAATTTTAAGTTCCAATTTTTTTAAGGTTAGGTTTTCTATTATTCCGGCTCCAATTTATAATGTACAATTTTATTTTCTAAAAATACATAATGTACTCTTGTTAGAACTTCCTAATGTGGACGGTTTTCGAGTAAAAACGATTTTAATTAAACTCTTACAACATTACGGTGTATAAAATAAGTGATTTTTCTCAAAGTAGGCTTATGTCAAAATTTACTGATGGATGTCTCATAAACAACGCATACATTCTTAGTAATATTTTAAACTCTAATTAACCTTATATCAAAATTTTAGTGATTGTTAGTGACTAGTTAATAATGACTAATTACAGTCAAAAAAACTTTTATGTAAAGTTAATTAAAGTTAAAAATATTATTAAGAATGTATGCCTTGTTTATGAGACATCCATCAGTAAGTTTTGATATAAGCCTACTTTGAGAAAAGTCACTTATTTTGTACATTGTAATATTGTAAGAGTTCAATTAAAAGCTTTTTTTCTCGAAAACCGTCCACATTAAGAAGTTCTAACACGAGCACATTATTATTAGAAAATAAAATTGTACATTAGAAATTAGAGCCCGAATGATAAAAAATCTAACCCTAAAAAAATTTGAACTTAAAATGTAATAGGAATGTAGCATAACTAGCTCCCTCTATGAAATATCCAAAAAATAATGAGACCAGCGTATTTGGCGTTCTTTAAAACCCCGGAATACAAAATTTCATAAAAATATATAGCGCCATTTGGAAATTTTCGTAAAAATTCTATTTAAAAAATTTTATTTTGTCTCTCTGTATCTCGAAAACAAGACATATCTTCATAAGACAAAAAATTCTTATTTTTTGTTGTACTATTACCCCCTGTAGTTACGGGAGGTCTTTCTGAAACACCCTGTATAATGATTTATATACAGGATGGGGCGTGACTCATTAAGTGACTGATGATTTTCTTAAATGAATATTCGTTATTTTCTTCGTAATTTTTTACCTTTTCCTTCAGATTTTTTTTACTTGTTTACCTATTGTTTTATTTCAATTAATAGATTTAGTGAAAAACTTTGCAACTAAAATAAATTTATTTTCCAAATCCTTTGCCATGTACTCAAGTACATATTAATTCTGATATAGATTTATTAGTTTTTATACATCAATACATAAGAAAGTTCTGAAGGAAAAGGCCCAATGTGTAAAATCATTAAAAAAGCTCTTTCACAGAGCTTTTCGATGATGTTATAATCACTTCATTTAATAAAATTGTGAATAAAGGCGCAGTTTTTATCTGTCCCTTTCTACAGGGTGTATCTAAATAACACCGAAAAAATGTAAGGAGCGATTCTCTGATGAAAATTAATAGGGGGTCTTTGGTATAAAATTTTTTTAAAAACCCCTGAAAAATTACGCTCCTCCAAAAATTAAAAAAAAAATTGATTTTCTTATTTATCTTCCATGTATATCAAGCCAAAAAAGAAAGAAACTTGGTAAACATCTGTCAAAAACACTACAGTTTTTGAAATTCTTTCAACCGTGAAGTATTTTTGTAACCCCTGACATTCTTATAATTTTTTTCAGTAAATTTTTTACCTTTTAAAAAATATGTCTAAAAAGCCCCATTCACTTACTAACTGTTTGAACTCTTCAAGTTTTTTCGAAAAGTTAAAAATTTATAAAAAAAAATAAATGCAATGCATTTTTAAAAAGACGAGCTGTTTAATGCGAGAAAATTTTTTTATACAAAAGACCCCTATTAAGTTTCATCAGAAAATCGCCCCTTACATTTTTTCAGTGTTATTTAGATACACCCTGTGTATAGTGAGTGTCTAAAAGAATGGATTCATTCATTAATTGGGTGAAATAAACTGATTTAGATCAATTTATATTACTACAATAATTTTGTTTCGTTATAAAAATTACAGGTTGCAAAGGCATTTTTTGTTCAGTTTTTTTATAACCATTATTAAATAGAAACGTGGTATAGGACTGTTTTTCAGGTATCTAATCACGAAAATGAAAAGGTAAACAATAATATTTACCTAATGTCTCAAGTCGTTTAGGAATACCTTATGCAGTGTTATTTTCTATACTATATTTTTTATTAGTATAGATTTTGAGAAAAAGCAGGTGTTCCTTGAAGCATAATTTTATTTATGGTAAAAAAAGTATGTCTTTAAAATGAGAACAATGGGTTTTAATTTTCTACTGCAGTTATTGGCAGCGGACAGTCTAGTATTTTGGGATAACAAAATTTGGTATTTTTTATCATATAAACGACCATCAAAAGTCTATGCCTGTTGAGATATACTCCCCAGCCGATATTGATCTTTTAAGTTGGTGTAAATCATAAAAATATTTAACAAAAAAAAAAATAAGTTTAATTACTTCAGAATATCCTCAAATACTCAACTGTCGTAACAGATAACTGCAGTAGAAAATTGAAATGCATTTTTCTCTGGAACAAGTATATTTTTTTAACATAAATAAATTGGTGTTGCTTGATTTCTCAAAATTTCTACCATATATGAAAAATGTTAAAGATGTTTTTAGCAGCCTCTATGTTTTAGGTAAAAAATAAAAAAGGCTATAATTTAATTTGTTTACCTTAAAACCCTTGAACAAATTTCAATGAAATATCGTACCTTAGCAAATAACTAATGGTCTGTAACTTTTTAAGGAAGCAGTCATACTTGATTTAAATGGGTTTAATTTAACCCTTGAAGGGATTCATAACATCCTGTATTTGAAATCACTAAAAAAAATGAAAACAAAAAAAATAAATGTGCCCCAGCACCACCCCCCTATAGAATTGATGTGTTACTTTATATACGCTTTGTATAATCAACTGGAGAATTTTTTCCATTTCAGTTAGAAAAGTTATAACTGGCAAAGTGGTATCATGTTATAAGAAATTTCAAAACTATTTTTTATCGACTTAATTTTGTATGTACTGTATAAAAGGATGAATGTAATAAAAATACATATTAATTAGTTTTATTTGTACTTGCAACTACCTATATAATTTATAATGTTTAGCTGTTAGGATGTTTATAATTTTTTTCTATAGTAGTACGATACTGTAAAAAATTTCTTTAAATACGCTTATTTTTTGTATAAAAAAAAATTTACAAAAATACTCTTTTAAATCGTATACCTACTGTCAATGTCTTATCATGTAGGTAGTTATACATCTGAAACCATGTAAATTATGTAAATAACAAAATTTATGTTTTGGGCAAAGTATTTAATAAATCCAAAATAAAATTGATACTCTTTTTTTACCAGTAACGAAGCACATTACTTTTAATTTGTGGAAACTATAGGGTGGTTCCGAAAAACTAATGTAAAAATCGGGTCTAGTTTTACTAATTTAGATGCCCACATTGGAGTGATGCACAAACATTTCATGAATTTATTGAAAAGTAAATTTCCCATCTACATTTAAGAACTTTTTCATATAAATATTTGCTTTCGTAGCGCTCGTTTTTGAGGTACAGTGTGTTAAAAAATTTAATATAAAAATAATTTCTATTAAATGAAAATATTAAAACAAAATTTTGTTTATGTACTTGCAAAAAATGAAATGTATCCAAAATTGTATTGAGGCATGTATTTTTTAACACGAATCATCTTAATAAAATTTTTTATAAACTGCTAATTTGTATCAATTTAGGAAAAGGAATGTGAAGAAGTTAATTAAAATAAAATTACATTTCAAAAATCATATATTTTTATTTTTAGTAGCGCTTCTTTTTGAGAACTTATTACCAGTGGCTTAAGTTGAGATTTAATTTTTTTCAAGTTGATGCCACTTGAAGCATCTATTGTGCCTGTAAAATCCTGTTTTAATTCATTTGTTCAGCAGATATATTTTTTAAAGTTTTTATTACCTTGTATTTCAAAAACGAGAACCTCGGAACAGTTGTTTATATAAGTAAATATATTTCAATATGAACAATGAAAATAGCACATCGGTATTACACCGTATACATTATTTTATTCTAATACTTTATAGTAATGATCATTTGCACTGTAAAGATCATACTGCGTTACAGGGTTGAAGGTGATACTGATGAATCTGAAAACTAATACTGTGTAGAGACAGCAAATCTACTTTGCTTCGAGGCTTCCGGTATTACTTTTTTTGACTCGTAATAAAAAAATTTAAATTGATAGGTCGGGTTAGATTTTTCTGTATATAAAACGTACGAAATCGACAAATCGTAAAAATGAAAGTCTATCTACACAAAAAAAAATATGTTTTGTTATACAGGGCGTAATTTTAAGTGGAGGTCAGCTTTTTAGGGGCAATAATATGTGCTCCCCTGAATATGAATCTGAAATTTTTTTTTTTTCAACAAATTAGTCGACATATAATTAGTTTTTTAAAATGCACTTTAATTTTTGTGTATGCCGCCACTGTAATATTTGTGTATTACATAAATTGTAAGCAAGCTATAGTGCATGTAAAGGGAGATAGTGCGAGTGAAGGATGACAAAGCGAAGGGGCTCAGTTGTTCCACATTTGAAGACAGGTCTGTTGTCTAATTAACAACCATTATTCAGAGGCAGTGGCGTACACAGCTTTTTTGTAAGGGGGGGTTACACTTTGCAGTAAGATTTTCGCGGCACGAAACTAGAGCACAGGGAAGCAGACGAAACTAAAAAGCGACGTTGCAACGTTTAGTCCGATTCAAGTACGATAGGTACGGCAATAGGAAGTTTGAATAGGTATATAATTATTGTTAAAAGTTAAAGCTCATAGTGGGGGTTTGAACCCCCACAATCCCCCGTGTGTACGCCACTGTTCATAGGGAAGCGACGAGGAAGGTGTTATATTAAGTGTCTGTAAGAACTGATGAGAGACCCGCAAGGACTATTTATTTTTGTGTATTTCATTTATCATTATTGATTACTGCTTGAGTTTTTTGTCAAGTACTGTTTATGGAATTGTGCATGCGCTGCGACTAAAGCGCCGTTATTTGAGGTTACACCAGCTTCTCCAGCGGCGGGGTAAGAAAATTATTAAAAAAAAAGGTTAAAAAAATCAAGTTTATGACGGAATTTAAAAAAATAAACTATTGATACGTATTTCTAAAGGTCAAAGGAAGTATCTGTATTAATATGACCCCCACTCAAAGCTACACCTTGTATATATTGGAAGATGTTTTACTAGTTTAGTTTTTTGAAATTATGCTGTAATTTAGTGAATAATAATAAAATAATAAAGGAAATGTCACTATAATTATATACATATTTTTAGTCGTACATTTCGTCGTTTGATAACAATTATCTTTTTTGAATAGGTACAAACTGATACATATTTCTGTATATAACCTGAGTAAACGTAAAACAATGATAACTTTTACGTAAACAAATTACATAATGCTGTTTTCTGCATATAAAAAGAATTATCAAATAACTATTTACTATTTTCCATAAATCAAATTGAAATTTATATAACAGTTTCCTTTCGTACAATGTATGTATGTAGAGTTGGTTGTATACATATTGGGACTTGGGTCATATTATTCGATACCATTAATCTCTATTGGAATATGGACTGCTATTATTGCTTTAGAAAACTTGGCCGGACTAATATATGTTTATCTCTGGATCACGGCACTCCTTTGATGTAAAGCTAAAAGCTAGCAAACTGCTAAGTGATGGTATGTTCGTCAACCGTATGTTCGTCAACCGCCTCTATTTCGTCCGTTTACGCATGACGTCACTTGACTCAAACGTCACATTTGTACTATATTTACATTACGGTAGCTAATGGCTGTGTTCAACGAATTGTCGGACTAGTTCGGTCAAATTTCTTTAGTCAAACAATTCGCTGAACGACCTTTAGTAACTGTATTGAAACCTGCCCAATATACTCAATCACAGCCTGCCTATACAGGGTGATTCAAAAAACCGCTGACAGAATTCTAGGGTAGATGATACTACATAAAAAATTAAGACGAAAAGTTTTAATAAACATAGGGTCGCAAATGCCTCCTTAACGAGATACAGGGCGTCAAAGTTTCTGTAAAATTAAACATTGTCTGCAATAATTCCAAAATGCCTGAACATTTCTATTTCAAATTTGCTATGCATAGTTAGCACCTTAAGACCAATGTTTGATCAACTCAAAATTTTATGAGCAGCAGTGTCGTAGAGATGGGGTCAACGTGACCCTTTTTTAAAAATATTTTCTACGCCATTGCTAATTTTGTCAAACGGGCACTATTTTCGTGTAAAGTGTTCAATTGTCTATCGAATTGGTCTCTTGCAAAATTTGGATTAAAGCAACCATTTTTAAGAGAACACCTTTGTAGAAAATTTGTAAATCCAATTTTATTTTCATTCATTTTAGTTTCGCATAGTAGACTTGTGCTATTCAAAATAAAATTAAACATCGCCTGTCACTAATGTCAATGTGTACAAGTGAGTTAAGTAAACTAGATTATAAGCTTCTTTTTGTCATTTTTACGCTTTAATTTTACAGAAACTTTGACGCCCTGTATCTCGTTAAGGAGGCATTTGCGACCCTATGTTTATTACGACTTTTCGTCTTAATTTTTCATGTATTACTTACCCTAGAAGTCTGTCATCGGTTTTTTGAATCACCCTGTATATAAACAGACAATTTAAATTGATATCGTGTACATAAAACGTATTAATTTCCACATTTTCATATGGTTGAAGAAACGTTGCCTTTTTTGAATAATAAAATGAATGGTGAGAAGATGCGTAGGCTGCAACAGCTTGGGATTATCAGAAAAATTAAAGAAAGTTACATTTTGAGTCTTATTATCAAGTGACGTAAACATATGGGTAGATACAACATCATATTTTCACATCCAAAAATGGTTCGTATATTAGAATTGGCGCATCCTCGTTTTTTATATGACTTAAGCTGAAGATAATTTTAATGGAATCATTTTTACGATTTAGATCTGTTTTGTACGTTTTACGTTACAGCAAAACCTGGCCTGACCTATTACCAGTTTAAATTTCTTTATTAAGAGTAGAATCAAATATAAATGGAATAGAAGCGCGTGTGTGGGGAGCTTTGGAAAGTGAATTGGTTGTTTATAGAGAGTGTTGTATAGAGAATAAAATTCTAATTCAAAACAAGAAATTTACGTTTGACAGTTAGTAGTCAAACATTTTTATTAACCTTTTTTAAGTATCTTATGGGGCATCGTTGTGAGTGTCGGCTGCTCTGGGCCAGCCATTTATTTTCAGTCAGTGACTTACCCCCATCGTTGATTTGTCTTTCCAAATACTAGGTTGTAACTCAGATGTCCCAGAGGTTGTTCTGTCTTACTTTTCTCTTTATTAAAAAAATTTAAAAAGCGGTTTCTAGCCTCGAAAAATGTCTATACAGGGTGTTGCTGCGTTCCTTGAAAAGAATGATCGAGGGCACGAAGTATAAATAAGTAACTTTTATTAAATAACTGATGGTCTAAAACATTGCATTTTAAATTGAAAAATAAAATTCACATGAATGTTTAAACAAATTTAAAGTCGTCCTTGGTGCGACAGACCCAGCTGTACCTGCGCCGTGCGCAGATTCACAATTCACACCACAACACGAATACGTAGTTTTAAATGTTTTATCTTAGACAGTTTTGGAAATATTCGGAAAAAACTTTCAGAGGCTAATCTTTAATGAATGGTTCGATTTTCATAGTCTCATTTAAATTCTTCTGATATTTTCCGTACACAAACACCATATCTGCAAATTCTTGATCAGAAAATAGTGCAACACAGAACGCACGTGCACAAGATGCACAGGGTCGGCTTACATTTATGGTTAATTTTCTTATTTAATTTTCTCGAAAACAAGCATTTAGACCATCAGTTGCTTAAAAAAGTTGCTCATTTTCGTGCGCTTATTTCAGAAACACCCTGTATAGCAGAAACTAAAAGTAATAAAGAGGCAAAGATTGAGTCCCACAGAGAGACCCAAGACACAGAATATAAAATTGTGTAAAAGGTGTCAATATTCGAAAGATAAAAGAAAAAACACGGAAGGGCCATATTATTTCCACAGAACAAGCAGCCAGGAAATCTAGAAACATTAAAAAGACACCTAGTTTTAACTGGGCTTTGTATAATTTTTGTTAATATTTTATTTTAATCATTATTGTTTGTTTGAAATATGTTACTTTTTGAACGAAGAATATATGTATTTTCTTTTTATACAGGGTGTTAAGTAAGATGTACAATAAATTCAACAGACGATTATTTGAGTGATTTTAAGAAAAAAGTTCATATTAACATTGGTCCGCACCGCAGATGCTTCGTTTTCAAGATACAGGGTATTAAACTTTTGTAAAACAAATTGCTATTTCATGAATAGCAATTTTGTTGTAGTTTGGCAGTGTTATTTGTAGTGTTAAGAGGCTAATTTAACTCTAACTTGATTAGATTTGTTAAGTCCATTGGCGTCCTGGGCGGTACTTTTGTGAATATTTTTAATAATGTTGGTCCAGGGATATGCAATTAAGTGGATTTTATTTTTAAGTTGTATTTTTAGGTGCTTAATCTAAAAATATAAAAATTACAAAAAAGTCAGCGGCATACATTTTTTTTTGTCAAAAATATTCGATAAGGTACCGCTCGGGACGCCACTGAATTTGACAAATCTAATCTAGTAAGCGTTAAATTAGCCCCATAACACTACAAGTAACACTGCCGAATTACAACAAAATTGGGTAAAGGGTATTTAAGTTATTTACGAAATAGCAATTTTTTTACAAAAGTTTAACACCCTGTATCTTGAAAACGAAGCGCCTGCGGACCAATGTTTATATGAACTTTTTGTCTTAAAATCATTCAAATAATCGTCTGTTGAATATTATTGTACATACTTAATTAACACCCTGTATACAGTATAGAAGAGGGCTCAGGAGGATTATCTCAAAAAGTACTCAAAAAGTACTCAAAATTGAAATCTGAACATTTGTATACAGGGGTTTATCAAAAAGATTTATTCAATAGAAAATAGGATAATCATAATGGACCTTCTTCGTGATACACTCTGTATATATGTTACACCTTTTAAGCGATTTTATTAATAAAACTAATTTTTTTCATGATTTTCTTATTTATGTCCGAATATTTTATGAACATATTTTCATTTCAAATTACTACCCACATTCTAATACGTAAATTTAATGCAACACGGGGTAATTTGAAAAGGGATGTTTGAATTTTTTTTTTTTTGCAAAAATTTATTTGCCATCTAAAAATATATTTTTAGATCAATATTAGGTATTAAATTTTCAATATGGAACATCTAGGCAAAAATACCTACGTAAATATTTCAAAATCGGCTATATTTGTTAGTTTTACGGTACCTGAACCTGGATAATTTTGAAACCTGAAATCGCAGTGGGATGTGGGAAATTAGAAATAGAAAATGAACTGGAGGCATCGGTGGACCCGTTGGTCCATTCTTCTAGCCTCTCAGCAACAGGTTCTTTGTTGTGATCACGTGACGGCGTGCTACCTTTCCCGCAACGCGCGATTTAAGTTTTTATTTCAGTTGTTAGAAATCGTTGGGGAGTGACGGTGTTGCTGGTGCAGTCAAATGCTTCGTTAGGTGTTGAAGTGAAATAACTCGTTTCATACCGGCTGTAATAACTGAAATATGGACTCTAATTAACAGTTTCGTGTTGTGTTCTCAATATGTGGTACGACTATTACTTGGTTCTTGTGATTTTTATTGCTCAGCAATGTTATTGTATGGGAAATACGACTACCGGTAAGTTTTTATTGTAATGTATATCAATAATTATTTAGTACTTAATTAAATGTTCTTGTGTTGTCGTATTAATATCGGCTGGTTTGCTGAGGTGTGAAATTATTTCTAATGTTCACGTGGAAATGAATATTTCTGTGAATATTGGGATTTTATATGGGACGAGTGTTGTGGATTACGTAGGAGCCACCTTTTTCTGTGGGTGGTAAATCATTAAGTAATTAGAAATAGTTAAATGTCAAACATTCGTTAATCTTTGTAGGTATTTTTCTTGATGCTTACTGACTGTTGACCAATTTATTTCAAGGTTGTAGATAGATGTACAAACATATTTCCTCCCATTTGTGTTTTGTCTGTATTTTTTATTGTCCCAACAAAAGATGGAAATATAAAAGCATGAAAATGAAAAATAAACGTAAATTAAATGTTATATAATTCATGTAATTTAAGTATGTACTATTTACTTCCCATACATAATTTGTTTTTTTAATACATTTGTATCGTAATAATTGTTACGTTAAATAATGTTTAATAGTTTAAAGTAGGTAGGTACATCTCATTTACTTTGGTATAAATAATTGACTTAATGGCTAGTACTTACCTACATATTGAAGTTATCTTTAATAAACCAATAAACCAATAAAAATAAGCATATACGTACCTATATTATATATTTTTCTTTAACAAAATATTTTGAAATGTTAAATGTTTATTGATAAACCTTTTTTAAAAATTGGGTGCGTAGATATAAATACATTATCAATGAATTATGAACGGATTTGAAAAAGTTGTGTAAAGAAGTGAATCAAACGGAAGAGAAGAATGAGGAACACGTTTATAGGTCACTCTACTTAACCATTTCACTCAATTTTTAATTATAAGAATAATAAAGTAACTACTTAGGTACTTAATTTAAAGCTCGATTTGAAATGAAATATATTAGACTAGCCCATATGACATCGTCAATGAATCTCGCAATCTTTTAGCTCGTCTTTTAGACCACTTCCTGCGGACAGAAATCTTTATAAACATACATTAACATAGATAGGCATTTCCTACTGTCGTTATGGTTTATATCTAGTATCTTGTTTTCATTTACACTATTACATATGTTCATTTGTTTGCATTTTTTTTAATTTTATAACTTGTCATAAAATGCCAATGGTTAGGTATCTATAGACTGACACTCTTTCCCGCACTTTAACGATAAAATTTGGATAGCATATTTCTATCGCCTGTGCTTAGTCCCGGAATACACGTGGAATTTATGCGAAAAATTTTGGTTCTTGCAGTGATCTGCAGGTTAAGTGACTACAGAGTACAGAAAATATCATGCTAGATCAATAACCTAGTCCTAGATAATACAATTTTTTTGGTTGATTTTTATTTTTCTACCATCTACATTTGATTTATTTTTAAGTAGTAAGTATATCACTAAATTGGGGTGAAAAGTTTTCAAAAAACGAAAAAATTACGGCTTAGAAAATGTAACCAAAAGCATACATATTTGTTTATGTCTAGCTATTAGCTCACCCTTGCTTTGTGGCTTAATAATAGAAAAAGTTGTATGAACATAGGCTGAGAAATGCTTTAGAATCTTAGCTTAGGGATTCACCCTTTAATGGGATCTTGCCCTTATACCATTAAAAGTGAACCCTTGAAAGTTGTCTTATTCAAATATCTGAAACCGAGTCCGAAACCTTCCAAAAAATGTTTCCAAATTTTAATTAGGACTTTTCGAGGGGCTTTCCAAACTTTGGGGAACTGTAATTAAACTTTAAAACTTTTAAACAGTTACTTAACTGTATTTTTACGTTGATTAAAAAATTTGGTATTTTATGCACATTCACAGTAAACTGGCGTTTGTATTAAGTAGGTACTTCGATATTTAGTACCATTATTTGGCAGTAAAATTGATTTAAAATTATGTCACATGTAACTTTGATGATAAGTCGTGTAAAATAGGACTGTAGATTATGATTAATTTTGTTAATTAACTTACCTACCATAAAATATACAGGGTGTCTCACGGTAACGGCCGATTAGAATTATTTCCATTTGTTTTGAAGTTTTGCTAAAAATTCCACAGCTATAATCGCAAGAAATTACATGATTTTAGGTGATTACACAAAAAATAGTAGATATCTTAAAAACTAGAAGAGATAAGTATAGGGAACCCTGATACCGTTCGAAAGAGAATACAATTGTGTATCAGAATATAGAAAAATATACAGGGTGTTCCATTTAAAAAACCGACTTATGAAGGTTTGAAGCTAACTAAACTCGGCATTAAATTTCTAGCACCTTGTAGGCAATTAAGCCACTTTGAAAGTATGCATGGGAAGCTTAGGGGTCTAGCTGTCCTCCCTATAAACATTGTTGCTTTATCTTTCTTACTATAAAGTACACATGGTATGAAGCTAGTCCCTGTTTCTCTCAATTTTTTTGAAAAAAATTAAATATCTTGAAAATGGTTAATTTTAGGAATAGGGAAACTTCATAAAAGTCCACCTACACGTAAAATCCAAAGTTGCAATAATATATACGGTGTTCCATTTAAAATAAGCAAGTTGATGGCGACTTTCGGTATAACCGGAAGTGGTAGTGGACGCCATTATTTTAGTTGAGAAGGTCATGCCTGAAAACCCGGTCCCCCAAATTTTCAAAAAATTCATATCGAAGTAGTCTGAAATAATTCTAATGGGCCGTCACCCTGAGACACCCTGTATAGGTACAGCACGTAATAATAAATCCCACTATCCGCGTCATTGTACAATAACATGTAGCTACATGTTTGCCTTTGTTCTGAAGTCTCGCATCGATCAATTTATTCGATACCTATGTAGCGACACCCTGTCGGCTTGGCGTGCCGGTGAACAATTCCGGTATTTATGCCCTATTTTAGCCGTGCATTGCATTGTCGCGTGTGAGTGAGTTTGACGCTTTGCTTGGTTGAGTGTATGGCACAAGTTTTTATGGCAGTCAGTAGCATTGTGTATCGTAAGCATAGAGCGGCACAAGGCTTCCCATAGATTTAGCCTATTTCTGCTACTACAACGCGTATTGCTGTTTATTAGCATAATGTAGGTTACTACTGTTCATGTATTTGCTTGTCGCCGCAAAGTATACGATGTTTAGTCATTAAGCGTAATTAAAAAAATTAAAATACAATATTTCGAAACAAAAAAACTCGGAAAAGCTATTTATTTATTACTACCATAAAATAAAATTAAAAAAAATCTGTAGAATAGGAGTAAAAGAAGACCATGTTTGATCAATATATTAATTAATGATGTTTTCCCTTCTCAGTAGAAATTAAATTGTTTTTCCAGCAATTTTCCTAATTTCACTAGGTATTTATAACTAGTCTCATTTTTTAACAATCAATTTGGAAAATTTGTATATTCCCTTGCAAAATTATGTGATAGTCAATTGTTTTCAAAACATACTGTGTATGGACTGTGTGCGTTTCATATTTTTTCAGTAAGTAGCTTAATTTGTAAATGAATTTTAGGTACAGAATGACTAAAATTTATTTTTTAACTTTTTAAGTTCCAAATGTTTTATGTGGGACAGGTTTGGAAATATTCGGAAAAAAAAAGAACTTCCTGAGGGCTAATCTTTAATTAATCGTATCGTACATCCAGTTCAATACCGCCACAAGTGTAAATTATAACATTTTTGAGTAGAAGGAAATAAAACAATGGTGTTGTTTAATTAGTTCCATAATTAATTAGCTTGAACAGGTATCTGTTTAAAATTTTGATAGAGTATACTTACATGTTGCTGATACATAACCATACATAGAAGAATGATAGACTTTGAGATAATATTAGAATTTTGTTAGATATGGCGTTATTGCACTGAAATTTTAATATTTTAAGGAGCCTCATCTGCGCCATATCTTCCATATCTGCAAAATATGGTATATTTTAAAACTTAATCACTTGTGGCTGTATTTCATTTCGAAGTTAAACATGTTGGCACTGAAATACCGCCATAAATTCAAAAATTAAAAATTTGCAGTTACGGTGGTATTGAACTGTATGTAAGGTATATTTATCATTGGCATAAAAATATAGGTAGTTTAATAAATTAGAGATTATTCTTATATAAAAATAAACAAACACAATAAAAGCTAAAATTTGTTGTATATGTAGTTACCAAAGTACTTTATTTGTTGTTAATTAACAAAAGATTGTTTATGAAAACAATGTTCCCTTTGTTTGTCACAAATGCCTTAACCAGAAGAACGGATTGTTTACATTACGAACGCATAGGTTTTGTTTGGACGTTTCCAAGTTGGAATAACATTCAAGAGTTCCAGTAGGTGCATACTGCATACAGAATAGTTTCCTGTAATTTCTACGTCATAATGCAACATCCTAGGTATTTTCATTTATATGAAGACTTTTTTCTTGATGAAAATTTTGCATAGTTCTCGCGTCCAGGTATATTATGGTGTGGAGTTTTTGAACTATTTCGAGAGCAATGGTCACTTCTTGAGGGCACAAACTTGAAAACAAAATATAGTATAAGCAAAACAATAAGGAAAATGGGTCTTAAATACTAATTAAGCTACAATCTGGACATCTGAATGTAAAGGTTAGTCAAAGTTCAATATGGTTATGCTTCTCATACTCTTCAATCTCTTTAAATGAAGATATGCCGAGGGATTTATATAATTTACACAAAGTTATATTATTCATTTTTTATTTATAAGGTTATTTAGGTAGTTAGAACCGAGGTTAGAACACTATATCATTACGCCGCAAATGAATCTAAACATGCCTACTGAACAACTAGCACAGTTCTCTACACTAATCTAACTACTACTAATCTCATTGGTTGAGCCAAATCAGCTCATGTAAATTCAGTTTACATATTTTGTGTAAAATATCTATGTAAATTTCCATAACTTCTATTAGAGTAGAACAGCTAATTTTTCTTAACTCCAGAGATCATTAGTGTTGCTGCTTCTGTTATTTTACATATTTCATAAT